GCAGAACTGGAAATTCAAATGATTTCCAGAAAATTAAAAGTCTTGCTGCAAGTAAATAGTTATGTAGAAAAAGCTTTTGAATTCTTGACTGTGTCCTTGTAAAATTAAATATGCTTGGATTTTTTTTTCCTGTGGATTACAGAAATCATTTTTCCTGTTATGCAACTTTGAATTTCAATTTTTCTGCAAGTACATAAGTTGTTCACCTTCAGGTTCCTTACTGTGATCTGAATTGCAGTGTATCTAAAGAGTTGCAGAAAAGCTATCAAATTTTTAATGAAACATTCCCATTTTCAGAATAAGCAAAAATTAAATGAGGTCTGTAATACAATGTAAAAGGGATGTACTTCTCATCCTGCGGGTGTTTGATGTTATGTATTGGAAAAATTAAAATTAAGTCTGGGGTTATTCTCAGTTTACAACMCTGAAGATGTAAAAGGAAAATCACCAAGTTTTACTTCAGTTCCTAATTTATATTCGTGTGTTGCACCAGCAAAGTTTTCAGATCAGCAAAGAAAAGCTGCAGCTCCAGAGGGAAGAGGTTTAATACCACAGGCACTCCTAACTCCTGCTCTTGTGCAGGGGATTTTGCAGCATTGCTCCTGAGAAGATGACAACAGTGGGTATTTATCCCATGAGCAATAAAGTGGCAATATTCTGTGCCAAAAGATACCTGTGCCCAGGAGAGCAAAATTCAGCAGTTCTGCAAGCAGGAGGAGCCAGAGATGGCCAGCTCATATCCCAAAATCAACAACATAATCCTGAGATTTATYTGTGCTTTTTTTAATGTCAGATAAGATCCAACAGCAAAAAGTTTCACTGAATACCTTAATATTGTTACTTTTGAYAAAAATAAAACCACCTTCCCATTAAGTATTTTTGTTTTGAGGGGAAAAAAAATAACCTTCAGGGCCCTGCAAAATGGTGAAATTTTTCTTTGAATGTAACAGTTGATAAACTCTCTTTTGGGAAAAGTCACCTCTTTTGTTGTTGTTGTTCAAMGTTTCAAAGGAATAATACATATTAATTGCACCAAATTAATATTTTCTAGTGGAAGTCCTGTCTCAGCAAATGTTTAGCTGACAAACATAAGCTTTTTACCTTGCAAGCACACAGCACTGATTTTCATTCTTTTGCTAGCAAAAACTATTAAAAAGGGAGCTGCACAGCTGTGCTCAGGATATACTCTGTATAATTTATCAGCTCTCTTCTATTTCTGATTTCAGTAATTCACTGAAATATTTATGGCCTTGCCAGAACAATGAATACACAGAGTTATCTCTTCAGCTATCATTGTGCTGCTCCTTCCCAAGCAGCAGTGAGGAAGGAAGGGACAGTTCTGGTTCATCAGCTGAAAGAATGTCAGAGGCATTCCCTCAATGCTCACTCATCCCCACAAACTGGACYTTGCAGGAAAGAATTTTGTCTGATGTTAAAATTACAAGAAGATGCAGCATCTTTAAAATCAGGAGTCCAACTACCAGAATTTAGCCAGGACATGCAACAATGACAGCTGGATTTTGATGTACAGGTATGAAGCAAAAAGGGAGGGGGAAAATCTCATGTTTGTGTGTCAGTTTAACAGAAATTCTTCTGAATTGCAGCCAATTATCTGTACAAAGTTACAGCACTGCTGTGTTCACAAAATACAAGATTCAAGAACAAAACAGCAAAACTGGATATGGCATTAAATCTGTTGTAATAAACAAACACACCAGGCCTGAAATGTGAATACTTAACAATTTTGCTATTTTGGATAGAAACAATATTGTTATTTGTGAAGCCTTTACTTTAGAGCTCAGTTCCACCCACACTGTTAAAAGAAAGGGAAGGGATAACTGACACTTTCCTGACTGTGGAATGGTTTGGCATTTGAACACGATATAGCTGAAAGATCCCTAAACTGAAGAAATGGATAGATTCAACATTTCAGCTTTTAATGGCCAAGAGGTAAGGCATTGCCCAAAAATCAAAATCAACTTAACCATCAAGAGAACAAGCACTAAAGGATGCTGAGCACCAGCAATTTCCATCCTTCTCTTTTATCTAGTCAGCATCAAAGAAAATGAATATAAAATCCAGGCAACTAAACTTCTGCCTGTAGGATCTTCAAAATCAAATGCATAGTGACTGGCAAGATCAATACGAGCATGGTAAAATAGGATTTTTGGAATCTGTATCAATTTGGAGATAATTTGAGTGAATTTCAGCATGACTGCCACATGTCAGATCCAGGCTGAGGACAGGTTAAATGAATGTGATGGGATAAAAGAGCTCAAGAGTTACAGATGAGTTCCTGCTGAGTGGAGAACCTGGATTTARAGCACCTCCTGGATATGGATGGCTGGGATTGTATCCACTACAGAAAGACTGTAGCTTTGGACAGAAGTTTCAGAGGCAGAGTGAGGAAATCAGCAGCCAAAATACTTGAAAGCTGTGTTATATGAGGGCCCATTTCAAAATGCTGATTGCYTGCTCTTTGATGAGGAGATAAATGTGTTCCAGGGTTAATCAGATTTCGGCCACGATCAGTACCCAGTGTATTCCTTTTCTAAATTTGTAAAAGAAAAGAAGAAAATGCTTTCTCTATTCTTTTTAGCCTGATTTGCACCATATGGTCTACTAAGTGCAGGCAGCAACTACTTTTAAATGCTGCAGCTCTTTCACAGAGGCATTATTATTATCCTCTGCATGATGGAAGTAATTTCAAGTGTTCAGGAGACACATTCTGCAAAGCAGAACGGCCTCTCAAGGCTTAGTTTCTAAAAATAGCTTACAGCCCWTAAAGAAGATGAAGAATGGCTCTTTCAAGGGATGAGCTTGATTATTCTGTTTATTACTTTGTTATTTGCATTTGGGGAGCTGGAGGATCCCGGAGCAGTAAGCCCTGGAAAACGAGTTGTYGTTTTTTTTTTKGKTTTTTTTTGTCAGAGTCCTYGCTTGAAGAATCGCCAAAGTGCCTTCATGGAGCTGTCAGTCAGCCTGCAGAGCTGAAAGCTGATCTGCAGCTCCAGCACAAGGCAATATGTACTCGAAGGTTTTCAGGAATACACTCAACTTCTTCAAGCCTCTTCCCTCAGGCAAAATGTCAGGCTATYGCAGAGGAAGGGGACAGTTTGTGCGGGTAATTTATAAATATGCCATTTTGACCTGGTTGTCAAGAAAGATTTTTTTAAGAAAGGGAGCAGTTTTCTGTTGGAAAAACACTCTACAACCTCGTCTTGGCACCYAGGCTTTGTTTCACATGTATTGTAAATGAATCAAAGAGGTATTTTGGCTGGGGCTCCTTTACTTTGCATTGTACACGAATGAAGCAAATAATAAAAGAAAAGTTCTATTGAGAAGGTAAAATGTATCACAAAGGTTGCCCAGCYAGATATTCTGATCCACTGAGCAATCTCAAAAATATTAACCCCAGTTCTCTGAGAATTCAGTAACAAATTATTATGTTGTGGACATGTCTCTGGCAAAAGGAAACCCTTCAGTCTGCAATGCAATGGCTGTCACACTTTTCTCTTTGATGTATGATATTTATGAAATATCCCATAGACAAGAGACCCCTTTCTGTGACACAAAACTTCAGATCACATGAGAAACATTCAGTGAGAAGTTGGCAGAAAGAGCTGCAGACAGAATGCAATTAGTTACTTTGCCTTAACTACTTTTTCTTTTTTTGAGGGAGAGAGAGAAAGCGAGTGAGGTTTAAAGCTTTAATCTCATACCCAGGCTTGTCAGAGCCCAAATCTATCTGTAATGCTCTCCAAATCAGAATGAACTCAGAAAGATGACGTTCAATCTTTAAATCCTGCGCTGCAGACCTATTTTTAATTGTCAGTTTCATAAAATGGATCCTTGCTGTGGCTCCAGAGCTTTTTAACATGTATTTTACCTGTCCTGTTTGACATAAGACATGTTAGTATTAATTTAGAACTGAACGTTTTCTTTGCACAATTTCCTGCGTAGTGTAATAAAACCAATTCAGTGTGACAGAACTAGCATTGTCACTGGTGGAAAACCAATTATCTCCTCTCCTGGTCACTGTTATTCTTTTCACTTCCACCAGTAACTCTAACTCTAATATTCTGGACACTTTTAAACAAATCTTTTCTTCTTATTTTGCTTTCTTTGTCAGAGTGAATAATAAATAAATGCTTGAAAAATAATGTCAAAAACCATATTTTTCATATCTTACTTTCTCAACAAACATTTTTTCAGTCTCTACATTAATTTCTAAACAATCTAAGCTATTCAACTCTTTGATACAATAATTATTGGCAACCATAATGAACCACCTTCCCCAAACCTCCTGTAATGTACCATTTCTGTTCCATTTTTGTAAATCAATCCCTTTAAGCTGGATTAGAACTGMCACATCTGCTCAACTCTAGGCAAATACCATCCAAATACACCATCATTTCCATGATCTGAACCAGGAATTCTATAGGAAGTCRAAGTTGTTTCTCAGATTTTCAAGTGATGCAGTTTATGACAGCAGCTCTCATGAATTCCCATCATTTTCACCAGTGGGAACAGATTTCTGTTCATGACCTGAGGACATACACAGATATCTCCAAATGGAACTGCTGCCTACATTCACTCCCTGCAGCAACAACGTCTTCATTAAAACACTTTGATGCATGTTCATGTAAATCCAGCAGAATAACGTTTTGCAAATATTCCAACATGAAAAGCTGAGCATTAAAGTAACGAAATTCTGCTAGTTTTACATGATTCTGGTAAACTTCATATTCCTCATTTTGGCATTCATTTTTTGCTTTAAGTTTTCTTGTGAAGAAATGTACTCTGGAATAACTTTATCTTCTAATTATACTTTGATGAAGATGCATCCTGAGCTGACACTGAACCTGCTCTGTCCTCCCGTGCTAGGAATGATTTATTCTGCCAGCTCACATCCAATTTTAAATGAAATTATCCATCTTCCTGGCTGATGAACTGCTACCAGGATTTGAAAGCACACAGAGATGGACACACTTACTCACAATCTACTTCCAAAATGGCACGGACAGACTTGGCAAGATCCCTGGCTTCTGCKGCAAGAGCTGCTGTGACAGTGGGTCCGACCCTTCCCAGCCGTGCCAGAAGTGCCTTAGTGGACAATGTTGTTCTCCTGTCACTAAGAGAACAAAGAATAAGGGTTCATTTGTAAGATGATAAAGGAATTTGCTACTTTTAATAAGGTAGATTTGTTTTTACTAAGTGGTTTTGTAGGAACAAAAAGGATTCATGCTACCAGAGTATTATAGTGAACTTGCCCCAGCAGCAGCCCTGGCTGTACAATAAAATATTTGGAAAGTTCAATTCAAGTAACATTCCCCACTCAAAAAGAAGTGTCAGGGACTCAGTGGGTGTCAGGAAAGGAACTTGAATGGAATTTTCATACTAGCATTTCAGAAGGGACTCTGCTTCCTGGGACCCAGCTCTTGTCTGCTCTGCTGTCAGCGAGTCAGTTTGGCACCTTGGCTTTGTGTTTGAGAATTAATCCATTCATTGAAATAAATTCTATGAACTTTATAAAACAAACAGCATCACTGTTGTGTGCAGTGCCAATGGGAACTGCATCTTACTGATTATCTACAATATCACAACCTGCATTTTTTGTTTTAATAAAGTTCCAGTTCTCTTAAATACATTTGATTTCCTTGAGAGCTGCACTGAAAAACATTGCAGGAAAGACACTGAACAAGTTTACTGTTCCATAAATATTAATGGAATGTTATCTGGAGTATATAGGCACAACCATGCCAATATTCTGAAGGACCAAAGGCTGCTTAAATCTTCTTGAATATTCCCAGTACCTTTTTAAACAAGGAAAGTAATAAAATGTAAATGGACACACATTTTATCAACTTATTTATATGCTACYGGATTCATTGTGATGCAAAATCACCTAGGAGAATCTAAAAAAAATATTAAAAAATTATAACCCACTGTTAAGGTTCCTTGCATTTTAACTAATCCTTAGTACATTATAATTACTTTATGGAAATATCCAGACAACCATAGCTATGTAATTACTAACTATTTTAATTTAATTCAGAGGTTTTTAATGAAGCTGTATCCTGAAAGCCTAATTTATAATTCATGCCATTCCCTCTCCTTCAATAAAATGACACTCAGAACTATACAGCAAAAGTATAGGAAAAAATAGCTACAAGACAGTTTTTGGAGACTCAGAAACCAAAGTAGAAGTTTGCATTATTGCCATTTCATACCTTAAAACTGTTGAGGAAGTAGAATTATCTGAAAGTAYTTCATGCACAACCTGTTGGTCACAGTCAAAAAGTTAACAGTTTATAAATCCACACAGTCAAAAAGTTAACACTTCATAGTTTGATGTTCTGTTTGGGGGTGGGGGATTTGATTTGTAATTTAAGTGGCTAGTCTCTCCCAGCCAGAAAACCAAAAATAAAAACCAAAATATGATAACCCATTTAAATGAAGTAAATATAACATCACTTTTGTTGTTGTTTCATCGCATTCCAAAGTATCATCATTAGCTTTTATGCCATTTTMTTCTGAGGAGTTTCACAGAAATTTATAGAGTTTAGGTAGAAAAAAATTATCAGATTATTGTCATTTGTCAAGTACAGCAAAACATAAAGATTGTGTAAYCTCTTGATAGATCTGTACATTTATACATTATTTCCTTTCTCTGTTTCTAGGAATGAAAGGATCTCTGCAAACCAGTTTATACTCAATCTACTATGCTCATTGCTCACAAACATCAACACAAATCTTTCCCAATTAAGGTATTTTCTAGAAATGAAAGGCAAAGTTACCTCCACAAATTGCAGCAGTTTTTCAGTAGTCACCTCAAAGGTCTTCCTGGCCGACTCCGATTTCCGCAGCTGGCAGTCGAGCACTGTAACCCTCTTTCTCAAGTCTTGAATGTTCTCCTGGGAAAAGGATTGAAATTTTAAGGTTTTTATTCTAATAATTTTCTCCCATGGCTCACACAGAGACATAACGTGAACTGACTGTTTGGGATGTTTAACACATTCTTTTCTACATTTCTGTAAAACTCATAACTGGAATGGTAAATCAGCTCCAAACTGCAGCAGATTTTGGCAAAGGTAAAAATAAAATTGAAATATAACAACAGGGACRGGGCTGAAAATAAGGAGAGTTTGAACTGATTTATGAATGGAACAAAAATACCAACCTGATAGTGACTGCATCTGTCAGCAAGGTGGCAGAAACTGCCAGAACAAACTCAGTCCTYGAGTTTGCATCCTCACATCCTTTGGCCAACTCAGTAATTATAGYTCATCTTGGAGGAAATCACCCCCAGGATGCCTCTGCATGCACTTGTATAACSTATTGATCAGGGTTATGCATCCCTGCCTCCTTCAGGGCAGAGGAYGTGAGCCCTGCTAGATGCAGTCCTGGGGGCTCTGGTGTCACTGGAGTCCCTGGCACTGTTCCTGTCAGAGGACCACGAGTGAAGTCCTCACATGTACCTGGGCATGTTTGTTTAGCTGAGCTGTCTGCTGGGCACAACATCTAGAAAGATCTCTCCACRATTCAGAAAATATCACTATAGTTAAAAATAAACTCTTATATTACACTGCAGGTGATCATTCTAAAAGCCTACAATCTACTCTAAAACTCCTGCCAACAAATCACCAAAACCCACTTATTAACTTTCCTGGAAGCAAATAATCATTGTACAAAGCATCAGAATCACCATCACCCTGAATGTCAAAGAATCTGCTGTTTCCAACACTTTTTTTTAAAATTTCACTGTCCACTCTGGAGGAAGAGGGACTTCACTCTTTCACACTGAAAAGGGTATAATATGGAATTAGTACCTACTTGATTCTGCTTCTTTTGGATAAGAAATACAGAGATTCACATCTCCACACAGGTATTCAAGGACCCAGTCAGAATTTCAGGAATTCAAGCTATAATCACTGGAACAAACCTCCAGGAAAGCAACCCACACCCTCTGAATTTGGCTATTTATGCAAATCCTAGAAAACAAACAGTGCTGCAAGAACACCCGGCATAGAAGATGGGGCATCTCACCCAGATGTTCAGAAAGAAGAATTCAATGGTGTGATTCACCTCATCCCTCAMAATCAGATGAGAGGAATTCCACCCTGGGATCCATAGGGATTTTTTAAACTGTTCTCTGCAAGCTTCATCACAGAGCTTGGCTTTACCTCCTAATGCCTTGAGATRTTAAATTAATTCTCAGGATGAAATAAGGCAACATTTTAGCAGGTTTTTTTCACCAGGTCATCTGCACATCCATTTTTCATGAGAAAAACAAGGTAACCTCCCAAATGCCAACCTGCTTGCTTGTGTTCAAACCGTGTCTAGAACACAGGTCTGCAGTTATGGGGAAAACTTTTTAAGTGCTTTCAATATTTTATTTCTTAGCATGTTCTGAAATGCCTCACTGCAGATGAAGTGGGTTTAAAATATAAGGCTCAATTAAAAAGACATTTTTATGGCAGGATTAGTAGCATTTGAATGATTATCTCAATTCAATCTAAATTTACTTTTGAACAGGAGTGGACTTTATATTGCTGCTACTTGTCTGACAGAAATATAAACCTGAAAGCCATTTTGACATGAGTACAAAAGCATACAAATAATACAAATAAAGACAAAGTGGAATCTTTAAAGACAATATATCTGCAGCTCAGAAACTATTCCAGGCTTAATGCTGGACCTGTGACCCACTTATGCTGGGAGCTCCTGTTTTTCCAGCCTGAAGATGTCTGGAAAGGAAAAGCCTTGCACACTTCCCATTACCCTCTCCACGACACATCATCCCAGTTATTGAATAATACAAGACCAACGGTGACCTACTTTAGAAAAGCAGATGAAAAGAAAATGAAAACAAGATACACGACAACAGCGAGGAAACCATGGTAACTCCRCCAGGCTTTGCTTACTTTATTTTGGCCAGAATGTTCAGCGAGCTGAGCCTTCAGCTCTCCAATTTCAGCCTCCAGCAGGCGAATCACTTCTTCATAGTCCAGCTCCATGCCCCGGGCCTGTCTCTGTGCAGCCTCTGCCAGGTGAATTCTGCTCCTCAGGGCTCTCGTCTCCTCCACAGCTGCCTTGGCTTCCTGCAGACCACACAGTGCAGAGGAAAAGTTACAACTCTAGCTAGAAAAAGAGATTGAGCCCCAAAGTGCTGTAGCTGGCATAAGGGCTTTCTGATAGTGTTCATAGTTAGAGGGCTCAGTTGTTGATTTTTAATATATGATGTGCAGTTGAAAAACAATTATGGACAGARACATCATCTTCCTAATAAATTAAATAATGAGTTCTATAATTACTGAAAATCTGCTTGAATGAAAGATTTGCTTGAAATTCGCCAGATGCTGCTGATCTGCCCCATTGCTTCCATACCAAAAAAGTACCTCAATGAAATGTTCCTTCATTTTATTACTATTGCCTGAATTCACACTCTAGTCACAGCTCACACACATRCAGATGGACTTTTCATACAAGTATTCAGTCCACACTCTTCTCAGAACCAGTGCTTTTTATAAAATCTCTTTTTCTGCCTAGCTCCTGCTCCTATATTTGCTCCTAATATCCTGTATTATCACAAAAGACTGGCAGATAAAACTTACATATAAATAATGTAGAGAAAACAGAAAATCAGAAACTGCTAGCTTTTAATTCAGCTAATGTAATCCCTAAATGCTGCAAAACCTCATTTCAAGAAAGATATTGCTCAGTTCATTTTAGGACTGAATATTAATTCAAGCTAACTTTGATTAATAAATTAGAAAGCCAAGCTAAAGGTCTGGACAACAGATGAGTTTACACACTAGGGATAAAACAAACAAACTGCTCATGCAAAATGCACACTGGCACCAAAATCAGTAACCCATCTCTCCCTTTAGCTTTTAATTAACCTGTGGGAAAAGTCATTTTTAATCAATTTTCACTAATTAAAGTTTTAAGCTTGGAATATACAAACTCACAGAGMGAAATGTTTTTTGTAGAAGTTGCTCAGTTGAGGATGCTTAGGGGAATATTCTACTCCTTGTCTACCTATTACATCTTATTATTACAATTMTATACAATTATATCTGGTTGGGAATGGAACCAGAGGGAAAACAGGTGGGTGCAGAGAAACACAATGGGACTCTAACAAGGAGGAAATAACCTTGTAGAATCTAGGTTTGAAATTACTATTTCTGGAAAACCTAGATGACCAAATCTTCCTTGCTTTGTAGAAGAAGTGGCACATAATATATAACAAACAGGAGTCATAACAGAAATGTCTAGAGAGGTCAGTTAAACTTAAAAATGCAGATTTAATTCTTTCCTAACAGAAGCAGTTGTTCTGTTTCAATATCCTTCCAGTCACATTTTCCTTTACTTTGTGACAGTATTTTTTCTGCAAAATGATCTTCCAATCTCAGCTTCAAATGACTTTTAACCTCTATTTTAATGAACAATATAGTCCAGGCCCTAAATYAACTAATCTCAGTGACATGTAACCAGGACATCATCTCCCTCATCTTTGCAATGTAACACCAATCTGGATCAGGGCCAGGGACATCCTGGTCTCAGAAAATAGAGCAGTAAAAGTAACCACACATGTAGAACAGCAACACCATCAGTGAACATTGGTGTTGTATAATTTAGAGGTTTCTGGTACAGGGCACAAGCAACAAGAGATCTATTTCAGTGACCTTTAATCTGACAGTGAGCAGAATGGTTTTTTTCTTTTCCTTTGGAASGATGAGGTGAACTACACGAGGATCACCTGCACCTGGAAACACAGATTTGTCCCAAAATTGATTGCTCCATGTGTGTGTTACTCCTCACGTTGKTTTCAGCACTGAGAGCAGTGTGAGGGTCACTCCTGCTCACACTCCCTGAATGCACAGCAGAACAATCTCCCCTCCTGCACGCTGCTCGTGGCACTCATTTTTCCTAGAAACAACTCAGGGAACACARGGACTTCTTAGAAATTATCAATCTGCACAAGAAGGGGTCAAAATTACTGCCTCTGGAGAGGGCACTTCTTTGCCACTGTAAGAAACAAAATGAGTCAACAGCAAGGAGAGCTGGGCTCTGCTGATACAGAGGATGAGCTGGGAGACTTTGGCAGCAAAGGCATCCTTGGGAAAGGCTGGGGGTGGCAAAAACGATTCCTGGAGACAAAAGTGACAAGATGCTCCAATGTTCAGTTTGTCTAAYAGAAATGAACACAGAGGCCTTGAAAAAGGGTGGCATCTTAAAAACCCACACTTAGGAATTAATTAAATAAAGCAACAGAAGAAAAGTGAAGGGAAAATTGCTATTATGAAAAGGGAGGTCTTCATGTTGAAAGAAGACCTCCTTGAGAKAAAGGTTTAATCTCCTATAATCCAGCATTGCCTTTACTCCTCCGTTGTTTTTTCAGAACTCCAGTTGTTGAATATTAATTTCTCTGTAATAGCAGACTAAGTATGACCAGATTTCAACAGTGAAAGACCTAAAGGAATAATTAGGGAACAATGGCTTCTTACATTACAATGAAACAATTACACACACTACAACTTAGTAAATTAGTAAAATCTCCTGACACACCAGAGCTGTTTGCTGGAACAGGGGGACACAAAGGGAAACKATTCCATCAGGTTTTCCCCATTTTTCAGTCACTGGAGGTGGCACTGCAGGGACACAATGGGCTCTCTCACCTGCCCACCAGTGAAGAGCTGATGGGAACACCCATTTCACCAACACAAGCTCATCYCACTCCAATGTATGAAAAATGTGTCCAAAGCCAGGCTTGGAGCAGCCTGGGATAGTGGAAGGTGTYCCTGCCCTTGGCAGGGAGTGGAATGAGATAAACTTTAAGGTCCTTTCCAATCCAAATYGAAGACACAAGAGAAATGGGATCTGCAGCTGCTGATATTTCATTTATATAAATGTCCCATGGGACCAATTGTCCTGATCTGCTATGAAGCCACTGCAATCAATAAGGAATTGAAAGCTGGAGGAGAGAAGCTGAATCCTTAAAAAAGCAATTTCAGGGTACAGGTTTCTTTCTAAGCCAGGTTCTATTTCTTCCTTGGATAAATTTGAGTGTCAGAAGGTTTTAGCCAGGTTTTATTCCAGCCACCACAAATGCCAGAACTATGATATTCTTTTAAACCACATGAAAATTGTAGTTACAAATCAATCATGCTTGTTGATTAATTTTACATCAATTATATGCCAAAACCATCCTTTAAAAGGACTTTTAATATCTTTACTATGTATTAAAGTTAAAAAGCTGTTGAAATAAACCCAGTATTTCTTTCAGGAAGGGCGAAATAAATTAGATACTGCTTCCAAAATAGCAGCCATTCAAATCCCCTCTTTTCCCCTCGGAGAAAACAACCAGAACAGCAAATCTCAGCCCTAGGAACAGAGTCCAGCAGTTTGGGACACCACAAACAGGATCTTATCTTTACAACTTCTCCCATTTATGATGTTTAGCTGAGTGCTTCAGCTGACAGAGGCTGCCCAGAAAAAGCTGTAATACAGAAGGGATCATTGTGGCTGAAACAAGCCAGRGCTCTCAGGCAGCACAGGATCCAGTCCAACCCCTCCAGGAAGACACAAGACATCGTTACAGATTTCACATTCATGCTCTTGGCAAGACTTCAGGTACTCCAAAAGTGCCTTTCTGTGTTTTGTGCCAATTCCAGCTTACACAGGGTTCAAGGAAGCCCCAGAGATATAATGCTATGTCACAACTTCAAAGCAAAAATAGATCAATTAATGAATTTTAATTGTCACGTAGCACTATTAGAAAATAATCRCTACCTCACTGCGAGTTTAGCAGCATTTCTAATCTTCAGAGTTTATTCATGCTGGGAGTTACTGAGTCAAGCACTGCTTAATGAATTGGTACTAACAAAGCATGTTCATYAACCAGAATATTTGTACCCCTGTCTTAATGAATCTGTAATCTCTACAATTTTCAATTAATAGAAAATACCAAATGTACCCCCATACATGACTGGTAACCTATATCCTCATTTAAAACCCTGATTTTCCAGGAAAGCAGTAATTTAAAAAAAAAGTTTAAATAACACTGAAGTAAGAAGACTTTAAGCACCGATTTAAATTTTTTTTTTTGGTTTACTGTGGTTGTTTGTTACTTTTAATCAGGCCATTAGGGCTCCATAAAGTACTCATTAACCCCTTTCATTAACTCCAGCTCCAGCAGGAATGCACATCACAGGTTAAATTGCAACTTGTACTCTAAGTAGCCTATTTTTAAAAAACTTTGTATCACAGTGAATTTCAGTGCCAATATTGGTTTGAAACTACAGAAATATATCTACAATAACATACATAAACCACTTGAAAAGGCACCAAATATAAACAGAAGAAAATGTCCATTAAAAGCCCACTTATATCTCCTAAAATGGATCACACAGTGCTATAATTATATATAATTTAGTATTTCCCTTTCACTTAACTATACAGAACCCTTTCAATGCCTTCAAGAAAATCAGTATTTATCCCTGGGAGGACTGCTGAACTTCACCACCAAACGACAGTACCTGAGAAAAATAAAAGTGGGAGGACCTCGAGTGGTGGCAAACGGGCACTGCTGCCACTTAAAAAMATCTCAAACCAGCCCTGTCCAAGGCTGCCTTCCCAGGAAAAACAGGTTTGTGCTAGGGTTTGTACTTGGTAATAGCTTTAATCTGGATAAATAAACTGAATAAGTGCTCTAGTCTAGAAAACACATTGAACCCATTTTAGATAATGGACCTTAAAATGCATTCCAGGAACAAATCTTSCAGGTAAATTTTATCCAAAAGATAACCCAGTTCATTTCCTTCATTTCCCAGAGTGTACAGAAGGAAACATCACGATACTGATGGAAAAAGCTTCCAAGCAGCTCTCACATTCAAGGAATAAAAGACGATAATGAAAGTGGCTCAACAAATAAGCAAAAATGTAAAATTAATCTTAATACAGTGGATTTTTAAAACTGTATCTTGCATTTTTACACATGACATCTGACAGGAAAAAAAGGTAAGGAAGGCAGCCAGCTCATCCGAAGGGAAGACRGCCAAGGTATTCAGGAGAAAGACAGAACAGGAAAGGTCCTTGGTTTGRAATCCTGGCTATAAATGACACAAGATGTAGATATAATTGGGAATTTCCTTTAAGAGACACAAGGAGGCCAAATACTCTGATTTATTCTCTCATAGCTGCAGACAGATTTGGACACAGAAACRARACTTTCCTCACAAAACCCTGACTACAACTTTCTCCCTGGCAATTTTTTCCCACTTAAGACYGGCTGACATATAAAGTGGTTAATCTTAGTTCTGTAAATCAGGCACACTGTAGCCTAAGAACAGCAAAATCTCTTCAAGAATACTTAGGCCAGAAAGGTACTACTACATCATTATCTCACTTCATTGATCCAGCCTGTCTTAGGGTTCCTATCTCAATTCAACACCAGAGAAATAAATTACTGCTCTAAAAACTGAAGGATCRATATTCTCCACTTTTAATCAAAAGCTCTGCAGTAACATGAGAACCAYTTTGTGCTGAAATCAGTGTGGAAGTATAGTCYGTATGACCACCAGGAGAGAAATAAGTGCTCCCTTCTCCCTTCCACAAAAAAAAAAAAATTATGAAAAATGAAAATAATTACAATTTTTAGAAATTTCAACATACTTGCTTGACTGCTTGTAGCTGCTCTGTCAACTGTTTCTGTAAGTTCACAGATTCAGACAACTCTTCCTGTTAAAAAAAAAACAAAAAGAAGAAATAGTTAATAAACACATTTGAAAAAAAAATTAGTCCTAAAATTCAATTAGCTCTTTCAAAACTACAGGAAGCAACACTTAACTTCTGTCAACAGCTTTTATAAAACCTGTGATAAAACCATATGAAAACTAACTTTTCTGTGAGGTCACTGATGCTGTTTAAATTTCTTGAGTATTTTGGAATTTTTTACTGAACATTTCTGGGATATGTGGAAAAGAGGGTAAGAAATCAGGCAGTTAATTATAGATTGATCATTATCAGTTGTCCACATCAGCAGTTGAGGGACTCGTGGTCAGTATTCACTGTGTTCAATGTAAATTGGATTTTTTCATTTCAGTACAAAGCTCTGAGAAGAAAAACCCTCATGCATAGAACAGAGAACAGATCTCGGACTACAGAAACATTGAGTTGATTGTAATTTACAGCAAGAATTTTTCTGGCCCAAGAGGTAATTTATTTAATTGTCTTTATCCCAAGCTCAATATTCCTGGTCAAGAAGCAGAGTTATGTGTGCTGAATACAGAACTTTTTATCTTTTGKTTTGTTACAAAAGGAATTCAGCACCATGGGACTGTGGCTGCAACCTGGAACATTAAGAAACAATAAATATATTTATTGTTTTAGGCCTTGGGAATTTTGTGATGTCTGGGAAAATGTGTATTRATTTTTCACGCAGATTAATTTATCCTCCAGTTCTGATTCCTTTCAGAATTATCAGCACACGCTCAGGCTCTGCAGTTACCAGGATCACACATTTTTAAATAAAATTGCCATGCAAATCAGTCACTTCTCCAAATGCACTTTGTGAGATGGCTGCTTAGTCTCATTTCTCTATGGATCAGATTAAAAAAGGTGTTAGCATTGAGTGCAACAGCTAAAATTCACTGTCTCCACAAATATATTGCAAGCAATCTCCAAACATGATTAGGACTGTCTGCTCTGCCATTTCATTTATCTATGAGAAACTGCACATGAAATTCAAAAGAAGAACAATAAATTACTACATAAACTAAAAAAAAAAAAGAATAGTCTCGAATAATTGAAAGCAAATAAAAATTAAGTATTACCTTTAATTTACTSATTTCCTTTAAAGCTTCATTTCTTTCTTTCTTAAGTCTTTCCACATCATCCTCCAAGGAATCACTGCTTACAAACTGTGTGTATATAAATACGTAAGGTTAGAATGTATTGCTAACTGTGTCTTCCATAATCTCAAACATCTTATATTAAAATCCTGCTAAAAAAAGAGGAGAATTAAATCTTAAGGTAATTTAAAGCTCTGAAAAATAATAAAAACATTTTAGAAAAATTTTAACCAACTTATCTTCCAAGGTAACAATTATTTTTCCTTTTAAAATGCATTAGTAAATGTGTTTTTAAAAGTATCAAGAATACATCACTAATACCCTCTCTTTGCTTCGATATTTTAAATTTTAAGCTATTTTATTTCAGTGTTCATATGCTAAAAATGCTCTTTTTTAAAGACACCTCAAGAATAAAATTATTTTCATTGTAGCAGCAGTTCAAATCATTGGGCCCAGTGATTGTTTCTCACTCACACAGGTTGTAGAAATACGAATTTCATTAAGAAATCTCAGCAAATCAATATTGTCCAGACTTCAACCACCCACAATTTAATTACATTAATTGCTTTCTGCAAATTAGGCTGCTTAAAAAAGCTTCACAGAAACTAGGTTATCCTAAAGAACCACATGGTGTGGAGTTTTTTTAAACATCTGCCCAAGATTTGGATACAATAATCTCCAATAATCTCCTCCCAAATGTTAAAACACTGATCAGGCACAAGTTTTACCTGTGAGTCCTGTAMGTTGGCAACTTCACTGACCCCAAAAGATTTGTGGCCATCATCAGCTGCATTTGATTGCCCAGACAACAGATTCCTTGAAACTTCAACGAAATCTAAGAAAAAAAAACAGTTCAGGTTTTGCTGCTGTATCTCACAAATTCAGTTTAGTAACAGATCCTTGATGCAACAAAACTGCAATTATCACCATGAGCAGCCACTCTGATAATGCAGTGTCTGTCCTCTAAGCTTTCTAAAGAAAAATGTAAAAATCAGAGAGATTTGTCCAAAAAGAAACTTCTGGCAAAGCTGCTGAGAATAAAAATGCCCAAAACACAGCRTGGGATGAAATGTTCTCAAATCAAATTGTAAAAGGGAAAAGAAAACAGAGGTGAAGTTCACCCTCAAAGTCCTGAGATGTTCTGCATTTTGCAGGTGCCTGTGAAAAATGAAACAAATCTGCACACCAGGTACACACACCTGCCCTTTCCACTGAGCTGATCTTATCAGAGCAGACAGGAAAAAGGAAAAATTTCATGGTAGCTCAGATCTCATGGCTTCCTTTAAACCCGACAGGAACTTGGTAAAATTGATGCTGACCAAGTTGAAAGTTTTAAATGCAAGCACTCCCTTATTCACAATCAACATGGCTTGGATCACCCATCCATTTTGATATAAAAGATTCTGTTCCACTATGAAAGGTGGAAATATAAAAAGGCCAGTTTACATAAAATCTGATAAAAGATCCAGTATCTTTCTTGCTGAGATATTGAAAATCCAGTGTCTTTTAGGATGTTTAAGTACAAAATGCTATTTTTCACACACGAGTGTTTTTCATAAACTTTAGGAAAAGTGAAACTTCCATCAGTTTTAGCATCAGAACCATCATGTCTCACAGTTTCTGAAAAATATTTTTAAATTGTCAGTGTCATCAACCAAAATTGTCATAACCAACAGAAGCAGCTCATTGCCATCAGAATTAGGTTTAGCTGGAAGAACTGTGATGGTCCYCCTGCAAATCTGTTTCTGTATGCAAGAGTTGAAATGTTCTTGCTTCCCACATATTAAAGTGAAGTGATCCATCAATTTAGTTCCTTCAAGAAGCCTCTTCAACTATCAAACTCTTTCAAGTAATTCTTGGAAAAATTACAGTTCYTTATTGTCAAAGCAACAAATCCAGSATTTTKTGAAAATAAAACGAAATAAAATAGAACTGTCCCATGGCTGCTCTTAATTAGATAAATTTGTGAGTTGCATTCCCATTATTTTGATTTCAGAATTTCAGGCTTATTTTCATACAGTAAAAGAAGGTTCTTGCCTCAAACTATCGTTTTATTTGCAGCAACAACCCAATACTGACAGAAAATATATTAATGGTTATTATCTATCACTTCTGTATTCCTACTTTTCATTATTTTCCATGGTAATTAACAAATTATTACCTCCAAAAGACACTGTTCCTTTAGAATCTTTCTGAAGTTGCTGCCTTAGGGCTTGCTGCTGCTCATCTGTGAGCTGAATCCCAAGATAATTCAGTGCCTGCAAGGAAAAAACTTATTTTGGAGTGAAAAAAGAAAGGACTAGGGATAATGACTGCAGGGACATGGGGGAGTAATTAAAGAGCTACACTTCAAAGAGCCTTTGTATCCTGGTACACTCTCACTGACAACACTTTTATTCCAGAGCCACTCTGTGACTTTCCTTCTAATTGAGAGATGTTCAGATATTATTTAACCTTGAATAGGGATGAGTGTAATAAGCAAAACCCTTTGTCCTTAATAACTGCCTTAAAAATCCTGAGGGATGTTCTGATTCCCAGAGGAGTTAATCAGTAATTAGATTAACAAAAACAGTAATTTGCCCAATATACAAACTGAAATATYGGCCTGCAACATGAAAGAACCATCCGCAGAGAAAATTTCCTGTGCCATTTATACCTTACAGTTTGTCCAGCTGTTTTACCTGCATCATGAAAGGGAAGGAAGGAACACTCAAAAAATCAGATTTTAAGTAGTTACCCTCTCCAGCTTTTCTGTTTTGAGACGAATACTCGAGTTCCTTCCTTGGGAATCATCAGTCTGGCTGGGGGAAATAACTAGGAAATAAAAAAATAAAGCAATAATGATGAAGTTGTAAGCATTGCTTTGAAAAATTTGTTCTGAAGCTGTGCTAATCAAGTGGATGCCAGTTAGATACCCAYCTGCCAAAAATACATGCCAATCCTTAGGCTGACTTCTTTTTTTAAAAGACATAATTGTAATCAACAAAAATTACGGCTATCAATCATTTCCACTCTTTTTTTTAATTTTTCACATAAAAAAGTGACAAGTAGCAAATGAACAGAAAATAACCAGGAATAACTCTGAGTGTTCCATCAAGCATATGGCTTCTCCTGGTGGTATTTTCTCTTCTCTTAGAGATACACAGTTACTCAGGAAACAGAAGGGGAAACACACTTGTGAATTCCCAGAGAGACCTCCAAGACACACCCTCAGCATATCTGACAGTTCCCCAAAGCACATGGAGTGATCTAGAAAACACTTTGGAAACAGAGGGGGAATGACCTGTTGCCAACCATGGGCYGTGTAGAAGGAGCTCAGCCTGAATTCCACAGGCTCCTCAGTATTTTTTTTCTGAGAAGGAACTCTTTTCCAAAAACTCCTGTCCATTAGGCCATCATCCATCATCCCTTTCTCTCCTTATAGTCAGAAACAGTTCAAAAAACCATCTCTTTGGATTTCAGATGCACACAAATAAAAACATCTCACTGTTCACATTCAGTATTTATAATTTAGATCTTAATTTATCATTTCATTAAGGTACTGAAACCAAACCCAGCCTTTGACAAGTAAAGGATCTTGCAGTTGGAGATTCTCTCTAAAGGAACAGAAGGAATCGCACAGAATTCTTTTTTTTGTACAATTTTTTTAGTTTCACAGTGTATGTGTTTCCAAGCTCAAAGTAATTTACATTCTCTTTACATGCCAAAAGCATAAACCAAAACATCTTGAAAATCTGACACTAACACCTCTCACATGCTATATTAAATTCTGAAGACAGTGGGCTAGAACCTCGGTGGAGTTGGCACAACTTCCCTTCAGCTCCGAATGAAAAAGCCTCATGTGTGAGTTTGTGCAAAAACTTTACAAAACTACACTGATCCTTTTCATAAAGTGTTAAAAACCAGAGGATCTTATCTAAGAGATGCTTTWATTTCTCAAGGTTATCTTTGAAATTTTATCCTTGGAAAAAGGGCAGCATGAAAGAAGTGGCAGGTGACAAAGGATGTGCTGTTAAACAAGAAAATGAAACATGACAGGGAACAAACTGGAACTGGGAGCATTTGTGCTTTCTGCTCTACTACTGACATTATTCAGATGAGTTAAGARACTGTGGCCTTCTCACTGTCTTCAAACAATGAAGCTCCTGGGTAATGAATTATATTAACCAAGAGTCTTATATTCTGAGTATATTAAAAAAAATAAGACTTTTGTCTTGTTCCTTTGATTTAGTTGTGGTTTTTTTTCATGGTCAATGTGTAAAAACAGTGTGCTCATTAATTTCCAGGTATATCCAATATTAAAACTCTCCAGTTTCAACAGCCCATATTCACTCAGCTCACCCTTCAAGGAAGGGAACCAACTGGTCAGATTTGCTGTAAGGGAACTGTTTAATTTTAAATTTGAATATCTAATATGGGCTATAACAAATGCAGGTACAATTTAAATAACATCAGTGGAGAGACTGGAGTGAATCAGATCCTGGGTATTTGTTCTTCCTATTCACAGTGCATCATACATGAAGTTGAGAAGCTCAGCTTTTGCTTAATTGCTACTGCCTGAAGAGAAAGACTAAAGTTCAGGAATGCATAGAGAAATAYAGAACAGAGTCAGTTCCATCTCTGTGTCAATGGGGACTCCATTATTGTGCCACTCYTGCATTTTCACTGTTTCTCAACACAACACATTTGTTCCCCACAGGAATTGAAATTGCTCAGCTCAGATTTGGTTCCRATCAAATTTCACAAACTCGGTTTTTCCTTAAATGCTGTTTTCAAAACAGGCATTTAGAGATGTGATCAAAGCAACTCTTGCCTTTGTTTGAATGTCACGACTCTCARACACAAATACACACAGATATATTGTGTTTGTTATGAACTGAAAAGCTGTTAGGGGTCTGCCTGTTATTTCTGTCCTTTCAATCTGCTGCCCTGATTTGAGCAAAAAACCCATGCAAGCAGCACAYATCCCCAGAATTTCATCAAATCAAGGAAGCACAGTTTCTGTGGCAACCTAATCTTGATCTATATGTGAGTCTTCATTATCTGCTTTCTACTGAGTCTATTATCATTACTGCTGTATAGCAAATGTTGTGATCACTCATTTTTGTTTGGTTTCAGCTGTTTGTTRGAGACAATGTGAGTTATGTTTGACAGAAGCTACTAAAAACCCATTGATCTCAGTTCTTTGTCTGGGAGTATAAAAACAGTGCAATATTCCCTTTTTTTCTGTTGAGTCTCACTMTGCACTGTGTTCTGTTTGACTGTTTTTGAAGGAACAGGGAGAAGGGTGGCAGGGAATTAAATCAGCACTTACCCGTGGCAGACACATCAGCAGGATTGCTGTCTGGASCAGTAATTGGAGATTGCTCCCCCATCTTGACTCCAGTTTCCATCTACGAGAGGAAATGAAAAGTCACGAAATGCCATTTCTAAAGCAGATCACAAGCTGAACTAGGAGTACACATTAATGAAAAAAGGGACAGGAAGGAAGACCAGGGGGATCAGAAAGGGCTGGGCAGATAAAAAGAACCCCAGGTTAAAATGAAAGGCACGGAGGGGGTGCTGGTGAGAAGGAAGAGCTTTGGAAAAACTCTSATCAGGGCCTCATCAAAACCTTGGGTTTTGAAAATCTCCACAGATTAAGATAGCACAGTCTCTCTAGGCAACCTGCTTCAATGTTTATATCCCTAACAGGAAAGAAAAACTGGCAAGAATTTTAAGTACAAATATAAGAAGATTTGAGAATCACCTGTTTTGACTTTGTGTTTGAGAACATTTTATTCTTCCTTCTTTTACGGCAATACTTTATTGAGCTTTAAAAATATGGTAAACTGAAAATGTTCTTTCAAAAATTGAGATAAYAGTTTTTAAATCATCTTTCTTATGGTCCACATTATTTCATTACACTAATAGTGAGCTGTACAAATTAAAGCAATTGCTGCTTAGCCAAAAGAAAGGGGGAAAACCCCATATCTTTCTAGAACTTATTTTTAAGCAAAAATCTGATCATCACAGAGCAAGTGTGAGATTGTACTGTACTCACACATATGTAGTAAACAGGGAGYATTTTATCTCTGAAATACAAACTATTTATATGAAATTCCAAAAACCTTGGAGAAACAGTGAAGGGGAACTTGGTATCTAAAACACAATTAATGCTTATTTTAATGTGATTTGTTTTCTTACCCCAAGTCAACTAATTCCTCTCATCAGTGTGGTTTAATCTCCTGTTATACAACATGGTTTTTCCAAAAGTTTTGATACTCCAAAGACTTAATATTGTGCAGGAAAATAGACAGTCATTTTCTTACTAAAATGGAAACTCAATTACAATTAGGAACAAAACCCAACCAGTTTCTCAGTTTATTCTAAGAGGAGCAATGAGCACACTCACAGCATCTGGAGAGAATGTTGAAATCAGTTTCACATTGGGAGAGAGAAGAGGACCGAGTGCTGCTGCCTGTTGCTCTGCATGTGCTACTGATGTTAGGAGGCTGAGAGGACGTTGCAGAKTCTCTGGATGACTGAGGATGTTTTTCTGCCTAATAAAAGCTATCTCCCAAAAGTTTTCAAACCTAGAATTAAAATTTTTAAAAGTTTCAAATTATTGTATACTTATATTATTCATAACATGATACTTCTGCAAAAATTAGATGTTTCCAAACACTGTGTGTGCTTTTATTTAACTGTATTCCTAAAAGGATGTTCCATTCCCCACCATTACAAAGGCAAATGAAGTAATTCTTTTTAAACATYAAAGTATCATAGTTTTGCAAGTCTAAAATGTGCATTTGAGTCTTTTCTATGAAATAACACTACAGTTGAGTATTTCAAAAAAGTAATATCCCTCACCTTTCCTCCCAATACATGACAAGTCATTTCACATTAATCTGATCAGAAATATAATCTGTTAAAGCATTTGTGAGGGTTGGTTGTCTGACAGTGACAGATACCTCATCTTTGTTCTGTTGATGATAGTTTTTGCCTCTTCATAGGAGACTCCAATCATGGACTCYTTGTTGATGGACACGAGCTGATCCCCAGGCTTCAATCGTCCATCCTAAAATAACAACCACAAAACCAAACCCACAGATTTTGTATCAGAAAGAACTGATAATCACAGCAGTTTGGACATATTCCTCTGGAGCTACCAGGACAAGAAAGATCAAGACCAGCTCTGCATTCTATCTGACAATCTTCCAGAAATAAACAGATTAAACTATCAGCAGTCACCATCATAGCAGCTGTTATAAGAACTCATCAGACAGAACAGACCTCAGAAACTGTGAAGAGCAGAAATTTGGACCCAGCTAAATATTTCTGCTAAAAAAAACCCAAAACAAAACAAGGAAAGGAAGCACAGATTTTTCCAGCACTAACCCACCCAACTTTAGGAAGCTCCTTTACTAATTAATTCAGCTCTGAGCAGGATTCATTTGTATTTTAAAACCAAATGCTCACAGTAATAGTTGGGACTCCTCAAACACTCACCGGCCATGTTAAACTTCATGAGAAAACCAGACTGGTCTGCTAGGATTCACCAGTCATAACCATGATAGAAATAATACTGTCAACTTCGTGCTTCTGTTCAATTAATTGCAAACTCTCCACCAGCACAAGAACATCTCACATTTCTGCCCCAGAGACTCTAAAACAAGACTTTAAACATTCTAGGCTAAATTTCTCACTAAGACAGAGCTTTCTGTACTCACATTTTAACAGAGGCCTCAACAATTTACCTGGAAATTCAAGCAATTCACCTCTGGTTAGAGTTAGTTATGACATTTATCTAATGTCATACAACAACAAATTACACAGAATGTGTCTCTGCTCTTCAGCTCCTAAGAAATCAATCTCAAATCAATCCATGTGAAAAAAATTGTGTACTGAAGATGAAACACAGGAAATAAGTAAAATACCTTCTCAAAACCAGTATAATTTTACCCACTTAACACCCACACACCATAATCTTAGCTGTGCTGCTTCAAACCTATGCCASTACTTCACTACCTTTATTTTTTTTTTTATCACTTAGTGTTTTGGTTTTGGTTAAAGAAAAAAAGCTGTAGATCTTTTATTTTGCTTTCATCCAGCCTGTTCAAAGATATCCATTTCAATGGTGCCCTCACGTGGCAGAAGTGCTTCAGCTTCCCAAACAGGATAATCAGGAGTGGAAATTACCTCTATATTGCTAATATTAGAGCCTACTGAAAATTGATGTTTCAGTCTATTGATTACGTGCTAAAGGCTTTAAATTATATGTTCATAATGAGAAAAATGTTTTAGAAGCCACAAAATAGGAGAAAATAAAAGAGGAATGATTACCATTTATCTGCTGGAAGAGAAAYATTGCRTTTTTMTCTTCCAGCTTAGTAKTTTACAAAAGTTAAGTAACAAATATTATAAACTGAGGATAAAACTCACTGCTTTTTGAAATGAGCTCATCCCCTCTTGCTGGGCCAGAGGCAAAAGTTGGATATCTAAACTTCCAAATAACCATCATTACTCAGGATGCCAGAGGAGACACTTGGATAAACAGTTCCCTGTACCTGAACCAGGTAATTACATGATTTATTTGCTTTTTACACTGACAAATCCCCCTGATTTACATATTGCATTTGCCATAAATTAAAAGTCATCAACACCAATTCCTACATTTTATTAATCTGCACTTTCAGAATATTTTTGCCTTAATTTGCCTATACAATAATTTCCAACTGCAAGGATCCATCTAAATTTAAGCCTCAGGGAAACACGATTTTTTTAATGTCCAAGGAAATAAAAAAAGAGGTGCAATCTGTAGCTCCATCCCATCCTTCCTGATTTACCTTCCATCATGCAATCTCTTATAGAAGCTGATTTGTACTTTCCTAATGAACTGAGGAATAAGATCCTCATTCACCTCAAATGAACTTATGAATACATTTTCATTTCCACATAACCCTGCTACAGTGCAGTGAGATGATTCTGTTTAGAGAAAGGGCAAAGAGAAACACAAACACATTTTGTATTTAAAATACTACTGCAGATGTARTATATCAAAGCAGGTACTAAATTAAGGCAGAAATACAGGTGTCTGAAGAGGAAGAAGTGGAAAAAAGGTCTTTACCTTATGGCAATCACCACCAGGAATAACTTCTTGAATATATACCAAAGGCCCTTCATTTCTGTTGATTCCTCCCACAATATTCAAACCYAGGCTTGTTCCTTTGCACACAGAGATAATCTGAAATGCACTATCACTAGAGACACAAGGAAAAAGAAAAGTAGAATTAATTCATAGAAGCAGATTCTCAAAGACTGAAGCAATAACTTTATCTTACTGGWTTTGCAAATATCTATTACAGCCACAAATACAAAYAATGAACATTTMATCTCAATGTTTAAATATTACATTGCCTATTTGGTACCAAATCAGCAACCTCAGGCACTTMGACAATTACAAAAAGAATTGATACTCTTGTTCTGCAAGGCTAAAAACTCCTTTTTCTAACAGATATCCAAGGCTTATGGGAGTATGAAGAAACAATGAAGAAACACTAATTCATGAAGAAACACTAAAAAATTAACCTGATTAACTGTCTCTACCACATAACAATAAATAAATAGAAAAATAACTTATAAAAACAGAAAGTCTGCAATGCCTACGGTATTATAAACTACAGGATTAGAAGTCGAAAAATAAAGCTAAAATTTCACACTTAGTGCTCAACCCAAATTTTCCTGACCAGCCAAATCCAGCATTTTCTGCAGCTCACACAAGAGAGATACAGTCACTTTTGGAGATTACTTTGCAGGCTTTGGGGATGCTGCTGGGACAGAATTATTTCTGCTGCTGCTGGTGGTGATGTTATCCTTCGGATGCAACTGAGGACTCTGTGACCTCGAGGATGACCCAGAAGAAAGGCTTTCTAGAGATTTGGCTTCAAAAAAAAAAGAAATAATTWAAAAAATAAATAAATAAAACASATATTTGAGGAAAAGCACAAAATTTCTGCTCATGTAAGTAAGTTCAGAAGGACTATTTATTAAAAAAAAACTACGCAAAAAGACAACCAAAAAAAAGTCTGCACAGTTAAGAGCTGAAGCCACCCAGGRTTCCAGGAATAGCTTTTTAAAACATAAAAAGTGATAATTTTTTTCAAATTGGGTGAAAAATACAAAGTCTCAACTGACTCATCCCCCGTGCTATATAAAGGCATCTTAATTAGGCAGCGGTTCCAGAAAGATTAGAATTTATGGTGCTCTAGCTCAAATTTTTATTAGCATTTTGTGGCACATTTCAGCTACAAATACCAAAAACTTCTCACAAAAATCATTAATTAAAACTGAAAGTAGATGTCAGTATATTTATTTTAAGAGTTGGGAAAACTGACATATGAACCCCTCTAGGTACATCTGTGTTTTTTCTGACTTTTAGCCATTTCCTCCAACATCCCTCCCCTTATTGAATTTTAAATACAAGTTTCTACTCCTCTCAAGGCTGATTTTTGCCCCCCAGGATTGTTTCAGGCTGGGAAGGGATCTCTCACCAGCTAACTGATGTGTTGGAGAAGTCCTTGCAGAGCTGGTGTCACTGTGAGAGCCGTACTTATCCATCAGGTCGTGAAATTCTTTCCTGGAGCAATTAAAAGATTCTCTCTGTCAGGATTTGGTGTCAGTTTGAATGGACCCTTGGAAACCTGCACTGCTTGTACWGAACAGCTGCTCCTCCTCAGAGAAGGAAGATCAGCCTCAACTGAAAGAGGAAAGCACTGACAAATTGCCAGAAAAGGCATAAAAATGTCATATAATGCAGGATAAAGATGGAAAAACAACAGGCTATGGATGAAAGGGACTATTGGTAAAAAAAAAACTTAATTTTTGTCTCTTTACCTTGAATTGCAAAACTTTAAAAACTTGAAATACAATCAACTACAGGTAATAAGACAGAGGTACTATGAAGGTCCAGAAAAATTCATTAGAGGGAATTAGATTATACACATAGAGCATTCTCATGTTTTTAAAGAATGCTTTTAGTTCAATTATACTGAACAAGAAYCCAGAAGAGACTGACAAAGATGTGGCTCCTTAAAAACAAGAGGATGGAAGAAATACCTATTGATTGCCCAGTAATGAATAAAACTGATGSTGGAAGCTGCTGGGTGCATTATTTTTTTAAAAAAAGATGAAATTTATTGTGCTAATACCAGCCCCGGGGTACACACATCAACACAGCTGAGTGTAAATCAAATAATCTTTAAGCACAGGAATGTAAAGGTACAAGAAATAAATTCACAGGTGGCTGTGAGGGATTGGATGGAGTGGCAAATTCTGCCCAGGCCCTGTACAACCCCCCCCGGAGTCAGTAAAGGACTGATGGATTTTAATTATTCAAGGAATTTACAGGAACTAGGCCAGTATGCTTTAGATAAAAGCAGATTAAGAGTGGACCTCACATATATCAAGGCAGTCTGAAAAAAGGAGAGATCAGAGGCTAGAGAGTGATTTAAATGTCTGATGAATACATAAAAATAAAGGAACAGAAAGAGGAAGCTTAACTCGGACAAAAGGCTAAAGGAATTTAGAGAAAAATCCTTTATGGGGAGATTACTCTGGAAGTGGAACATCCCAGGAAAGGCAAATAACAGCAGATACTCTTGCAATGATTATCAAATATAGTTACATAACAGCTGTTTTGTCCCCAGATTTAAATCCAAAGTGGATACAGACCTGGATTGCTGCATTCCCCATGATTCTCTGCCAATATTGGTTTATGTGCTTAACTTCCAACAGTCAGGTTGAAGCAATATTTAACATAAATGTCCTTAAAATGGATATATTTTGGACTACCTGCTGCAGTGAACAGTTTAACCTACTTATCCAAAATATAGAAAGCTTATTAGAGATTGAAAAGCAAACTTCTGAGGGGAAACAACAAGTAAATCTGTCTTTTTTCAGAAGGCAAGACCAGTTGAAATCATCCAGTTTTATAGTACTGTTGCTCTAATGGAGTCCTGACTTTCCATTATTTTAAAATGTTGGAAGTATTTCAAAAACTATCACAGCAGAAAATTTTTAATGACAATTTTATTTCTTTTTAATTAATTTTTAATTTTTTAGCCGTGAATATAAAATCACAAGCATCCTCTTTCAAATGAAATTGGCCTGGGCTTGCTACTTAAAGTGATGCAAGTGACCTCAGAATGAACTSGTATCAAATACCACAGAGAAAAATGGGACATGTGGTGCAATTCTGCAATTAAAACTAATCTGAAATAAAAATACATGCAAGCCCACCCACCCACACAGAGATAACTGGATTTTTATTAGTTTTGAGGTTAAAACAATTACTCTCTTACTTTGCTTCTTCATCTCTAGTAATGAGCAGAGACATGTGATTAGAGGCTGAGGCTGTTCTCAAGATGTCAACWGCCCTAGAAAGGGGGAGAAAAAGGCTGAATGAATACACCAGGTGCTGGCAAGAAGYACAGGGTGAGCAGAGCTACAAGAGCAGGAAAATGGGCAGATTCCTATGGTGGTTAATCATTTTTGTTGCCAGATACAGARAAAAGAACTTGGCAGCTACAAAACCCAAGTGAGCAGTGGGGAATGAGTGAAAGACAAACTGTGGGGCATCTGCTTGGGATGGGATTGATCTTCCCTTCCCAAACCTTCCCTCCTTGGTCCATCCCGTTCCCTTTCTGGGCTGATTATCAGCCCACACCAACAAAAGCTACTGCTCAGGTGTGCCTGGCTCAGGAATTCCCCCAGCAACACACTGCAATTCTTCTTTGAATTCTCCATCCATCTCCAGAACTAAAAGCTGCTCTGATCTCTAGAGATCCAGCTGCAGAAACATCTAGAGATTTTTCTTTCCCCTTCATTGTGCCATTACCTGATTGYTGCATCATTTACAGTCACCAGCACTGAATCAGCAGGTAGTTATAAAAGTATTTTAACAGCTCCTACTCTGTTTTCACATGCATTCTGTAATCTATGTCATTAAGAAACTAGTTTATTCTGGTGTTATAGATGCACATGAAGCCCTTCACTCTTCCACATAAGTTTTGCTGAATTAGATTTAGAGCATGAACTACTTGCCAGCTGAACTCCAAGGAGATCTCAGGGGAGCTGTGCTCTTTCAGTCATTGATAACCCCCAAAATAATCCATGTTTAATATTGCAAGCTCTAATAAACACTCAGGAATCAGCACAAACATACCTTTCATTTGTTACTCCRATCAAGTTTTCTCCATTGACATCCAAAATTAGGTCCCCAGTGAGCAAACGGCCTTGAAATGAAACCAACAGGGATTCATGAATCAGCAAGAAAATGGTGAACATATTGTATTAAACCAGGTATCAAACCAGGACTTTTCCATCCAATTTCATGTGGCCTAGTGCATTAAACAACCTCATGGCTCTTGGCATCTGATGCCAAGTAGGACAGGTTATTGTGATGAGACTAGAAACTATAACTCAGTCTTATTAACAACAGAATAGCCACTGAAAATAAGTGTTATTTAGCTATTTGTATTACTTACACACAGCACAGGTATCTGTGAGACTAGAATTTATATTTCACAGTTGTGSAATTAATTTTTATTTGAATCTTGCTCTTAACATTAGTGCAAGTTACCATGTATGTAGACATAATAATGTTTTATACATTAATAAAGTCAGCTAAAAGATTTTTTGAACCAATTCTTTTTTTTTAACCTCCTGAAAATCTCAAGTTTAGGAACTTGAAATTGATTCAGATTACTTTAAATTATCATTTTGCACAAAACAAGACGGAATCTCAAAAAAAAAAACCATAAAAAGACCTAGGACAGAAGCTGTAGCTTAATTATTGCAAACTCAGTAGAGTGCCATTTCTTCTTTCCACACTGATCTTAACCACCAGCACACCACCATTTTAAAAAAAATTAATAAAAATTATCAGAACTAATCAAAATACTAGTTCTACATAGGAAGCATCACTCTTCTACCTTCTGAATTAAAAGTGATTCAGCATCTCAACACTTGCTCAGCAGTGGTGGAAGACTTCCAACCGCCTTCACCAGCTATGTCTAGATTTGAACACATTTTCAACACCTGACTGTATTAAAATCTTTTTCCACAAAGGATCCAAGTTTCATTTTTCTATCTTAAGCCAAAACTTCAYGGATCCTGACAAACCTTATTATTTTAAACATCCTTACCCACAAAGTAAAATAAAGACTTCTTTTGACAGCTTTTTATATGCAGTTTGATGCAAAAAAAGTTGAAATTACTTACTATCCACAGCAGCAACCCCTCCAGGCAGAATTCTCTTTATGAAAATTCCATAATCTTCTGCTGTTTGTGCCCGATAACCTCCAATAATTTTAACTCCTGCAGAACAAACAAAAGTGAAAAATTGGTTATTTCATCTACTGAGCTAAATATATTTGCAGCCAAATCCATAAAAGGCAAATGAACTTTCCCAGTGCCAGTGTGAGCTGGCAAAGCTCACCAGGTGTTTTTAGGTTTGGTTTACTCAGATGAACAGAAGAAGCAGTCTCAGTTACCTAATCCATTCTGGCAGTCAGAGAAAGAGAGGCGATGCACAGCTCGATTGATTCCATGAGGGCCCATAATGGTCCTGAGGAGCAAAACAAAAGGCATTAAATTACAGAAATGTAGGCAGAGCTATGCTAATAGAAAAGAAATTACAGTTYGTATTAAGAGTTTTTGATTCTAATACAAACCAAAGCCAGTTTTCTCCACTGATAACTTCATATTGTTTAGCACCTCTGTATCACCATCTCCCCAGCCAAAATCAACATCTCCTTGTCACAAATATCAAATGGAAAGGTACAATAAATATACAGAGTTTACTTCCTTTTCCCCAAAAGCATTTCAGGCTGAACTGTGAATCCCATTTTGTTTATGATAAAAGGATTAGGATTAAATATAAACAAAATAGGCAAGAAAAACACCATAAAATCAGTCTTGATCAGATACTGAATATTCAAATAAAAACACAGCTAAGTCAGGGCATATAATTATTTTCTAAGATATCGAAATTATAATTTTGTGGCTATTTATGAGCATAATTTTTCCCTGCAGTCTCTTAAYTTCTTCACTCAACATTGATTTCTTTCTCTGTTGCAAAAAAGGCTTCTTTCCAAACTCTTTTGTGTGGACCTTCCCACCCCAAGGGCTGTTACCACACCATAGAGGAATATTTTGAAAGCACTGAATATGCTAAAGAATTAAGGAAGAATACAAAGTAAAACTAGAGTTTTGAAACCTAAATTTACAGTTCCATTGGACACATGACCAGCACACTGCTTGGAGAACACAGTGTTAAGACTTCTTATAAATCCAGATAACCCTTTACCAGGTTTTATTCTCATTTAGATGAATTATGGGTAAAAAAATGCAAGYTGTATCATAGCTCCTTTGTCCTTTCACTGCCCCATTTTTGGAGAAATCTCATCATATCTCTTCTAGAAAAGAGCAGAATCACCACTCAGGTTTTTCTGCTTTGACCTACATATTGTTCTACATTAGATGGAGAGTTGTATTTTTTAGAGGGTGCTGTTAAAGTGAAATGGAACAAGGAGAATTCATTAGCAGGGGGGGAAAGAAGATCAAAGTGGAGGACACAGTGACCCAAATCCCTCCACACAACCTAATCCAGCACACAGCCTGAACTCCATGCCTGAAAATGGAGTACATCATTAAAAGATGCCGTGCCAGAAGCAAGAGAAATCCAGAAGGTCCAAATAYTCTGTAAAATTCTGGCACCAGACAACAGATCCAGCTTCTAAAGAACATCTGCAGTTCTTTTGGTTTTGTARAAGAAAACTGGATGAGATGTTTTTATCAAGGGATAAGCACTAGCTCTGAAAAGCAACGATTTCCCCAAACCCAAAATTTCCAAATAWTTGCAAAATTAGCCTTTGCTTTAGAAAGGCTGGCCACAATAACAGACCTAATACTTCTAATAATCTTTAGAACTAAAAGTAAGCCTATGCTTCAAACACTGTATCATTTTCACGGTAGTATTTAGTGAAGTACTTGTTTCATAGGCTAAAAAAAAAAAAGAAATAATGGCACCCAGTGTGTTTGGTCTGGGTTTAACAGGACTGCACATTACCTTGCTATGACATGTCAGAGCATAAGGCATCCTTTGTAAGGCTAAAAGTGAACCAAACTGATTTAAATTAATCACAGTCTGAAAGGAAGAACAAATCCCCAAGTCTGATATTTCTCTAACAATACTCTTTGGATAACCTCCTACTACACGACAAGAGCACAGTATTTCGCATTTCTACCCAGTACTGCCACTGAAATGATCCCATGAATTTGTTTTAAGCTGAAAGAGAGCATTATCAATCACGTTTTGTCCTGACTTGTATCCATAACGAGGTACACTGATCTTTAATAAAACAATTATTCAATATTTTTTCTCTCTTGCCTTTTGCTACTACTGCTCGGCCATTCCCTCTCAGCAGTTTTCAAATGGTAATTTTTTGGTCCAAATCAGAAAGCAAAAATTACTCCAACCTCACACAAACCAACACAGAGGTTTACTCTCAGGAAGTCTGAAAAGATCAAATCTCACACTTTTAAGTCTGAAGTTTAGAGTTCACTAAAAATTATGAACGACTTCATGAAATATGATCAAATCTAAGCACATGACACTTAATAGGAAAGGATCKACATTCCCAGAAGTAACAAGGAATACTTTCAAAAGAGAGATATCAACAAACATAAAATGAATTCTGACAAAGAGGATAAAAAGAATATACAAGATAATAATGCATAATGGAGAGGAATAAGTTATCTCTGAAACACTGGAATTGTCAGGATGCTGTCACCTACAATTAGAAAGAACCGACCCTTTGAACAGACAACTTTTATGAGGTGCTTGGCTCTGTTTATGATCTGAAGATTAAATCCCTCCAATATGCAAAAATCCCTCCAACATGCAAAAATCCAAAATGCAGTTTTAAATTACTTGATCACATAAAGTAAAGACAATGATTTCAAATGCCCTAAATTTGTTTAGCATATCACATCTAGCTGATTTTCAATTTTAGGGTTTTTTCCCCCATATAACTTAGATCTTCAAGTCAAATTACTTGTCATAGTTCACATAAAATAAACAGAGCTTTAACAATTTCATTGTAAAATGACTTGGATTTAGCATCCAGCCAACATCTATTTTATGTCATCATTATTTAATAGTCATGAAATGTTAGAATACTTCTCCCAGAGCATTAGAAACATGCTCAACAGTATAAAAAAAGGAAATAGGCTCCTAAATCAGTTGGCAACAGTAACAAAAAATATTTCCACGTTCTTTGTAGAAAAAGAYGCAAATTAAATAATCAGATGTTGCTACTCATTTTTTTGAGGTCAGGCAAAAGTACTTGTAAGCAAGGTTTTAGCACACAGAGAAGATGTGAGGCAACAGATAAACAAACAAAATTCACCAAAACGTACATTTTAACTTTCTTACACTAAAAACTACTAAACTCAACACTCCAGCTGAAGTCATGGAATGCTAACAGACTAAGTGTGTAATATTTTGTGTTGATGCTCTTAAAATGAACCCTCTYCTATAACTTTTTAGCAGAATATACAAGGAAGTTCAACAGTTTTGGAGTCTATACCTTCTAGGTACTTAGCAGAACATACAGCTCCAGATATCCTTTTGATCTCTATTCCTGAGCGATCAATAATCATTTATGTGCAGAAACAAAATATTTACCTAGGTTTATCAATGGGAGAATAATACACTTTGCTCACAAAACACATATTACTTGACACACAACAATCTAAATTACAAACTCTGGCTGTTTATGAAAAGAAGCTGAAAATGCCCACACAGCTTTTAAATTATCTCTACTGCACTTTGCCCAATTAGAGACTAGAGCAATGCCCTCAGAAATGAGTGGTTCAGCATACCAGTACAAGAGAGAGAGACCATCAAAACGCTCTGGTTCATCTTCAGCCCCCGGTGAGAGCAAGGACATCCTTCAGCACAGCAGGAAAAACAAGGACAACGCAACCAAAACACGAGGGAGGTTTCCAGTTCGGCYGGATAAGGGTTATGAGCAGGATGATTTCTGCTCCCAACTAAAAAACCCAAACACAGAGCTCCAGCTGAGCGTCTCTGCCTACTTAATCTTCTCTGAAAGCCTCTGCGTCACATGCGCTAATTCACCTAGAGAGGTAATGTTTACTTTTCCTCTCTTTGAAATGTCCATTTATAGCAACTCTAGAGACTGATAAATGCAAAGGAGAAAATTTACTACGTTGTGATGAAGCAATCTAAATCCAGCAGCCAAAGGCAAGTGTCATGATTAAAAGAAATTTGTTTCCTCCTGTTCTTCCAATAATTTATTTACATGCTCCCTGCAAACAAGGTCAAAAGCAGTAACTCATGACCTTTCTAAAGCAATCTTCCTAGMAGACTGGATTATGCACAGCCACACAAAAGGGAAAGCCAACAAAGCAGACTGAAAGTAYTAATGAAACAAATGCCATTATGCTATTACTTTTCATTCTCAGTCATGATATTGGCCTGTGCCATGATCTGACTTGGCTTTTAGACTTTCAGTGTACAGCAGTCAAAAGTCAACACAGAACTTGGGTTATGTATTTTCTCTAGGAATGGAAGCTGACACATGCTTTTTGTGARAAGAAATAAAACTGATGAAATAAAACTGATGCCCTTACACTGAGAATAATCTAGTTGAGAGAGCCAAAAATATCACCCYGGTTGCCAGAGGTCAGATCCTGCTGCTAAGAGGCCTGGTCTTGCAGAAAAATGCACATTTTCAGAAGTTCTGAGCACCAGGCATCAGTTTGGTAATGGCCATTTTCCTCCAAGCTTACCCCAGAAGCACCCCTTCTGCTCCCCCTCTCTCCAAAAGATCATAACAAGACTGCAGCTTGAAATGAAACCCAAATACCCAGCGTTCACTGAGGGCTTTAAGTAGAAAGGTGAATCCTCTCTAGCCAGGAGCAACCCTGTGATCAGACAGCATCTGTCAGGTCTGGAGCCGTGCAGCAGGAGGGCTCAGCTAYGCCAGGAATGCAAACGCTTATCTCAGGCACCTTTTTTTTTTAAAGCTGCAGTGACTGTGGTTTCAGTAGCATATAATCCTTCTGGGAAAAGGATCCCTGTGCTGAACAGTGCTCAAATAGAGAGAGCTCAGTCCTGAGAGCCTGCAGTGCACACACAAAAGGGGACAAGGGCAAAGTGAGCCACCACACATTAAGGAGAAACATAAAGCAGCSTTCCCAGTTCCCAAAATGTGAAAAGCCCCACTGGCACTGTGATCACATCCATTCAGAGATGAAAATTTGYCCCTTTTGTAGCCTTTTCTCAATCMGCTCACTCTGCTGGTGTTACCAGCATTACAGAAAAGCCATTGATATTTTCAGCCTCCTATCAATTAGATTTGCTCTAGGCAAGATTACAGAAGATAAAATACCAATAGTTCTTCCCCAACAAAACTGCCTCTGTTCTTGAAACCAGYAGAATTCAATTTGTGGTATCAATATCAGGAGCATTTGTCAAAACACATCACTCAGACCAGTGTGTCTCATTTCCAGTATCACATTTTCTGATATAGAAACCCCCAATTAACATACGGCTCACAGCTCTGCATTTTCATTGTTAAAAAGCAAAAAGTTATTTTYATTAAAGCAGACATGACAAACTTGTGAACAATTTAAGCTGATATAAAGTAGTRTTAARCTGATTGCTCCCATTTCATTAGAGTTATTACAAGCAATAYATCACTTGCTCAGACAGTTGCTCCTCCATCCCTTCCTCAAAGCAAACTGCTTTGTTCAGCTTCCTGAACTCATCCCTGAGGCTTCTACCTCTTTTACCTTGAAATTCTGCTGCTTTTAATGTTTCTAAAGGATTCATATWGAACAGCATCATTGCTTCTCCTGCAAGTCTTCTGCCTTTCAAGAACATGCTCAGGGGAACACAAATTACTTATTTCCACAAAGATCCTGGACAACTGTAACAACTCAAAAGTCCATAAAATTTAGTATAAATAAACAAGACTAACTTTTCAAGAATTATAATTTGTTATTAAGTATGGTTCTTTTCCAAACAGCTGGAAAACTATTCCATTCTGGCAACGTTTGTAATTATGACTTGCCTTTCCCAAGGGAAGTTTTGCAATGCTTTAGCAACAGAGAGGATTACAGGATACTTTAGCAGATGACAAAAGGATCTGCAGAAYCTTTAGAAGTTTGATTCACAAGGCCTTTTTTAAATAAAACAAARGCCTTTTACAAAAATCCTATACAAATCCCTTCTGCAAAATTCYATACAAATCCCTTCTGTAGCCTTTCAGGTTCACTAACCCTAAATTCAGATTTTAAGAACCACAGCCAAAGGAATGCTTGTATCATATARCATGGACAAGCACACACTATGATTCATCTAAACCCACTCATTATTCAAAATACRTTTTGCTGATTAGGTTATAAAGATTAAAAGAAAACATGTGTCATTACATGGCAATTCTTAAGCCTGAAAAAAGCTTGAGGAACATTGTAATTGTGGAGAAGCATGAATGGTTTGAGGCTAACCCCTGTGTAGGGAAGAAAGGTATGAATTAAAGTTCAGGTAAACCTCAGTTAACATATAACCAAGTGCATTCTTGGAACCTTGTACATCGATACTGTCTCCCAGAAAAAAAAAAAATTACAGTCTGCCATCAGCATGTAGCTGAAGTGCAGTTAGAGGTGCCCTTCCTGTTCATCTCTTATGTGAAAAATTRCCTTTAAAATACAGTGAGCTTGAAACTACTCATGTTATACATCTTTCACATGACTCTAGCAAGCCACAGCTGTCTTAAAGATGAATCTTTGTACTTACATACCCTGAATTTCCATCAGACAAGCAGAAAGTTGGCTTCTTCAGGTCCCTGTAAAAAGCAATTTAAGTTTTTTAAATGTTTTGTGGTTTTGTTTTTCAAAACAAATCAAGTTATTTATGAGGTGGCATAATTCTAAATYCATGCTAAATTGTTTTACTGTTCTTTTGAATACTGTTTGCTGGATTCTATTGCACAAGTACAGCAAACATGATAGCCCAGCAAGAGCTGCTTGTGCCTGGTTTTAATTCTGGTTTTGATGAAAGCACTGGTGTGGTTATTTGGCAGTTTGGGAAGGGGCTGGAGTTATTTTTCAGTCATAATGGAATCCATGTTTAGATCTGTTCCAACTTTTAAGAGGATAACATTATGTTTTATAGAATGAATATAATTATTATTTTATATCCCATGACATTGGTAAAAGTATGATGGTTCCATGGCTCTGCATATAAAACATTATAGATATACAGACATGGGATTCTGAAAAAGAAATGCATCATAACAGAAAAACTCCACACCACGTTGTACTACTACAGGTACCTCACATGCACAAGGAAGTGATCAAGTGTTTCCAGGAATGTTTACATAGTTCAGAAGCATTAAATTAAGGAATCTCTATGCAGGGTTTTACCTATACAAAACTCATTCTAACCAAGCGCTRATTAACTTAATGAAAACCTTCAAGRACATTTCCTCCCTGAATGTGTAAATTCACTGGTGTTGGTGTCAGTTCTTCTAGGATGTTACTGCAGACTGCTTCAATATCAAAGTTATTTTTCTTTAGGACTTCATCAAAACAAGGTTCTACTAATGAAACTGCAAGAATATTCATATTATAATCCAGTATTTCTGCATTTAGAGGGGAAAAATTACTTACCCCTTCTCTGTATCTGTGAGGGGATCTGTACTGGGCATCTTCTTAGAAGCACTACTGAAATAAAAACTCAAAATGAAGAGTTCTGACACACGAAGAACTGGCTCCTACCCAGGATAAAAACAGCTGAAAAAGAAAAGGAGAAACCACTTWCTGAAATTTACATGGCCATATTTATTTTCAGACATTGAAAACGATTTTATTTATTACTGACTAGTTGAAATCAATCTGGAAAAAGAAAACTGCCGTGATAAAACTGATACAATTCATTGCTTAAAATAGTTAACAACTTGGACTTTGCTGTCAGTAGAACCAAAACATTTCACATGCTAATTTCCTCTTAATTTACAAGGTAGRAATTAGGGTAAACCTGAATCCCCTGTGACTGAAATCTTCTAAAAAGGAAAGAACAGGTTACAATTCTTTGCCTTCATCCTAGACAATCTCTTTTTTTTCCCATCGAAAGTCACTTGGAGAGGGAATGTTGTTTGGAACATGATAAGGTGTTCTGTGTGTCTTGTTTTCTCATGTTTTTTTAACTTACTGTCTGGTATTTAGTGTCTCTGAACTTTTCACATGAAGTATGCAGGACAGGCCAAAACAAATACAATGAGGTTACACATCACTAATATAGCAAAAAAACCCAGTAATTCATATTGTATTTATCTGTTATAATAGCAAATCTTCCTGACCTTGTGGGGTGCATGGCTGAGCCACAATCCAGCCCAGGCAACTACTCCCAAAATATGGCAAAAGGAGGACACAAAAGCCTCCCAAAACACAGGCAAAGATGCCACAGGTGCTGCTGGTCAGCATAAAGTGGAATCCCCAGGTGCACTGTCAGCCTCCACAAAACCACACTAACGAATTCCCAGTCCATATTTCTGTGTGGAAAAGATGTTAAATCCACTCTGGGATACCACAAATGCTCCTACAGTAAACGTTTTCATATTGCTCGCTAAAGGACCAAAAACCAGACATCTGAACAGAATGAAAATACCACGACATCACTACACTCCAGCTTTTACCATTCTCTTATTCGACATGGAAAGTGAAGCAGTACCAGGAGCTGCCAGTCCTCGTGCGGCTCACGTTACTGGAACCAGCACAGGAAAAGAGAAGTTTTAAAACAGTGAATTCAAGTATTGCTACAGCAAAGTTCATTACAGCGCGTGGCACCAGCTGTGTGAAAAAAACACTGTGAATTCATCTGACTTTGCCCGTCCTGAGCTTAATGTTTGTAAAGAGCATGTCAGTATCTGTGCCTGAACAACAAAAAAAACCCGCAAGGAATGAAATTAACGTGAAGCAAAGCAGCAGTGGGAAAAAGAAACAAACAAAGGAGCGGTGTCAGGTGTCAATAAAACGGGAAAAACTGCACGACCCCGGAGGGACCACCGGAGCGGCTCGGAACCGGAGGGATAACTGAGGATAAGGAGGTGTCTGAGGGAAAACCTGCGGTACCCAGGTTACCCCTCAGCAGCCGGGCACCAGGCACCGCCGGGGCCGTGTACCTGCGGGACACCCACCCTCCCGGTGACGCCGCTGCCGTCCGGCACAGCCCGCTCCGWGCGGGACCGGGGGCTGCTCCGGTTACCTCATACACAACCTGMGCCCGAGCCGTCCCGAGAGAGCGAGGAGGGGGCGACCACGGGCGGCTCCGCCGGGACCCCCGCGCCCAACGCGCTCTGAGGGGGCGGGAGCGCGATGGCGGCTCAGCCCGCCCCGCCCGCTACGCTCCCACCTCCAC